GTCTAAAAATCGATGTGGTGATTTAAAGTTAATGGTGTTGACCTAAATTATATATATATATATATATGTATATATATACGTATATATATGTATATATATGTGCATATATGTATATATATATACATATATGTATATCCAAAAGCGAGATTCTTTCCTGGGCCCGCTTATTTCATTTTTAAGTAGTTTAGACTTATATGACTGATCGTAGCGGTAGGTTAGATCTGCCTTATGACTGCTGAGTTTTATGCCATTTTAATCAACTTTTGCGCTTAACTCACTGATTTCCGCAACTCTTAACATTTTTCGCATTCGCATCTCGTTTTTTTCTGCGTTTTTTGCAGCAGTACAATGCGAAAAACGCATATTGACGACAGGCTGTCTGTGTGTCCGTGTGTCTGTGCGTCTGTGTGTGCGTCTGTCATGCACTTTCATCTCAGGACCTATAAAAGCTGCGGGGCTGACATTTCGGAAACTTAATCTACATGCACGTACGGCCCCCAATCCTCAAAATGGGCGCCAAAACCCGCGTGGTGCCCGCGTACGGGCCCACCAAAGTTTTTTTGGGGTCAGTTCATAACTCGAGGATCTGAGAAGCTAGAACCCTGAAATCTTGGGATAATGTTCCCCACCCAACCGGGTATTAGTGGGCTCAAACTCAGCCGCCGGGTAAGCGTGGTGCCCGCGTACGAGCCCGCCAAAATTTTTTTCGGGTAAGTTCATAACTTGGAGATCTGAGAAGCTGGAAGGCTGAAATCTTGGGGTTGTGTTCCCCGTTCAGCCGGGTATTAGTAGGCTCAAACCCAGCCCCCGGGTAAGCGTGGTATCCGCGTACGAGCCGGCCAAAATTTTTTTCGAACATTACCCCAAGATTTCAGCTTTCTAGCCTCTCAGGAATCTGATCTGAGGGGCTAGAAAGCTGAAATCTTGGGGTAATGTTCCCCGTCCAACCGGGTGCTAGTGGACTCAAGTCCAGCCCCCGGGTAAGCGTGGTACCTGCGTACGAA